CCATTACGGAAGGGATAGAGCGGGGCATTGTTGACAGCATCACTGGGCAGAGGCTTCTGGAGGCTCAGGCCTGCACGGGCGGCATCATCCACCCAACCACTGGGCAGAAGCTGCCCCTCCAGGATGCCGTCTCCCAGGGCCTGATCGACCAGGATATGGCCACCAGGCTGAAACCTGCTCAGAAAGCCTTCCTCGGCTTTGAAGGAGTGAAGGGAAAGAAGAAGATGTCGGCAGCAGAGGCAGTGAAAGAAAAGTGGCTCCCCTATGAGGCCGGCCAGCGCTTCCTGGAGTTCCAGTACCTCACGGGGGGCCTGGTTGACCCCGAGGTGCAAGGGAGGATAAGCATGGAAGAAGCCATCAGAAAGGGGTACATCGACGGCCGGGCAGCGCAGAGGCTGCAAGACCCCAGCAACTACGGCAAGATCCTGACCTGCCCCAAAACCAAGTTGAAAATATCCTATAAGGATGCCATGAATCGCTCCATGGTGGAAGACATCACCGGCCTGCACCTTCTGGAGGCCGCCTCGGTCTCCTCCAAGGGCCTGCCCAGCCCTTATAACATGTCTTCTGCCCCAGGCTCCCGCTCCGGCTCCCGCTCTGGCTCCCGGTCCGGTTCCCGCAGTGGGTCCCGGAGAGGAAGCTTCGATGCAACAGGGAATTCTTCCCACACCTACTCCTACTCCATTAGCAACAGCTCTATTGGGCACTAGTAGTCGGTTGGAAATGGTTGCTAGACCTTGGCTTTCATTTATATGAATTTTCACTTTACTAAATAATAGAGAAAGAAAACCTTGTGCTTGTAGGATAGTGATAGAACTTTCTAGGCTTAAGAAAACGTAGCCACGGGGGGAATCAAATGGTAAAGGCTGTTCTGGCTTTTTATCTTCTTAGCTTACCTGAACCAATGTCATACACTGGATGTAGCGTATAGGAAGTAGTAATCAGTTGTAAGGAAAACACAAATTGAATCTAGAGTTTGTTTCTTCTCTTCTGTCTTTAGATTTTTGAGTGATGCTTCTTGAACTTCTTATGGCCTATAACCCAGATTTCTGTTCTTGGAGATAAAAATGAAATTGACCTTGTAGTCATCAGTCTGCATCTCATCTAAATATTTCCATTTTCTGTATGAGGAGAAAATTACCCTATCCCCCCGCTCCCCCCCACAAAAAGAATCCCCCTCAAACCCAAGCATTTTGGAACGCGTCTCCTTGGATTGCATGACCCATATACTCTTAAGTGTACCTGTTTGGTTTGGTATTAATTTGACTGTACGTGCATGATAGTAGCAATCTTTGCTGTCCTTTAGTCAAAGTTTTCTGTTCATCTTGCTTGTCATTTTCTATGTACTTTCAAAGGTGTCTTTATGAAGTTTGCTATTCTGGCAATAAAGTTTTAGACGTTTGAAGTTTTTGCGTTTTGATTTAATAATATGTTCCTACACACAAGGGCATTTAGCAGAAGCTTTTTATTGTAAAATGGGTCTGAAACTGTTTACTAAACATCTATTAAGGAAGACCGTTAAAAAACTGTTCTAGTTCTGAGTCCTTGTTAGAGGTTGGTCTCCTGAAGGTAGTTTTTTCAACATTTATGTACCGGGTAGAGTCCTTGAAAGAAGCCGGTGTAAGGAGGCCAGGCAAGAGGTCAATACCCACTTCTGGCTTATTCTGGACAGTGAATAGCATGGGGAGAAGTCACTGTCATACCCTTTAAAAAACATGAAGTGGCTAAGATTCCATTTTGGGTAGCCTTAAACTACATGGTTGCATTTTTGTCCCCAAAGAGAAGGGAATTGACCTTGAATCTATGAAACTGATTCCTGAAGAGTTCTTGGTTCTCTGTTGAAGGACAACGAACTATAAGCCTATTCTTTGGATCAAAGAAAACTTGAAATTCGGACATTTGTTATTAAATTAATAGTACTTTACTGAATGCCTGGTATGTCTAGTATTGGGCTGGGTGCAATGAGGATTCAGTAGAGTTTATAAGACCCTGACTTCAAGGCACGTACAGTCTGGATGGGTACAGAAGACACATGTAAAACAGTGAGTGGGACAACTTTCATATATCAGAAGCATATATTAATACAATCAGACACATTTGATGGTACAGTAGAAACTAGGAAGACAACTGAAATGCTAATTGTGTAGAACAAAAACGATCATCCTCTAGATAATCCTTAACTTATTGGTGGGGGGGGCTTTTGGCACTTAGGGTGAAAACAGCACTCGTTTCTTCCTTACCTCGCCTCTCTTTTTCTTCCTCTTGGCCCCCTCCCAATTTGGAGGATTTGTTATTAATTTCATTCACTGAATATTGAGTTCTGTGTGCCACACATGGTCCAGAAGCTGTGGATCTAATGGGAGAAGTACCTGGTACAAAAATAGCCCGTGTAGTTTAAAAGGAAGGAAAGTGCCTGGGAAATGCTATGTTGAAGGAAATGAAGGAGGATCCTTACGCCAGAGCTGGGGGGCTGCATTAGCTCGGGCTGCTGTGACGAGATAGCACAGACCCGGTGGCTTAAACAAACACTGATTTTCTTATAGTTCTGGAGGTCAGAAGTCCAAGGTCAAGGTAGATGCCACCAGGGTTGGTTTCTGGTGAGAGCTCTCTTCCGGGCTAACAGGCAGTGAAGGAGCTCTGGCATCTCTTCCTCAACTTAGAAGGACACTAGTTCTGTCACATGAGGGCCCCACCCTTATGACCTCATTTAACCTTAATTACCTCTCCAAATACAGTCACATTGGGGGTTTGGACTTTGAATTTTGGAGGGGACAGAATTCAGCCCAGAATGGAAGCCTAACCTAGAACGGGGGTCAGGAGACCTCTTTAGGAAAATGGTGATTGGACAGATTAACATGAATCAATGGAAAGGAGTTCTTCAGGTTGATATGGTACACCCCCTCCAAGCTGCTGCCACAGTTGTCATTAATTGAGAAATGAGAGAGCTGGATCCTGGAGAGAGGGCATACTTGACCTGGGCTGAGTTTTGATCTGGTTCACGTATACTGTACGTCCACAGAAAAGGGAACTGTATATGTAAATTTTCAACAACAGTCATCACTTCACACCCAAAAATAGACTCACATTTTCCAGGAGGCTTGGCAAACTATGTAATGGCAAACAAAAAGTAAGGATGCTGTGGGCAGAGTATGAATAGACTGCTTCTCGCCACACATCCACTTGTAGCTACTGGCCTGTTTCCATATTATCACCTTTATTTGTGTGTGTGTGTGAGAACTGTGCGATTTGCCTTTGAGAATAGTTGTTCACAAAAGTATACTCCACTGTATACTGCCTGATGGAAGCAAGTGCAAAGGAAAGCAAAGATTTGGCATCAGGCTTGAAAAAAAAAAAACATAAGAGGGATTAGATTCTGGTAGTTAAAACCATTTGGGGAAACCAAAAGGGCTGGTTCCAGGTCCTGGGTAGGAAATGTACAGAGTAAACTTGGGTTAATCAAAGCAGGGAAGTACTTGAGGACTAACAGGGATGTGTCAAAGAGACACAGGTGGTTATAGTGGTTTCCACTGGTCAAACTTGGGACCATTTGAGCATCAACAAGAATTATGATGGTTAAAAAAAAATTAAGTCCAAGATACAGGATGGAAATGGACATTGATTATTAATGGGCTGAATCCATATAACAAATACTCATAGTCTTTAGTAAATGCCTCTTGCATTGTTCACTTTGTGTTGACAGCATCATTTAGGCTATGTCAAATACCAGTGATCTTACTATTCAGAAGTCCATGGAACCATGGAAAAATTTTTTTTATTGATTTGATCCAATTCAATTTTCTCAAAAATATCAGTATTTTGTATTCACTTTATAATTTCTGCAAACATTTTCTGCTTATAAAACAAGAATTATGATGGTAATGGAGTATGTAATAACGAATTTAAAAACCTTTAATAATGATTTTTAAAAAACCAAACCGTGATTCCATAGTGAAACAAACAATAGAAAAAATGAAGGCGTGGTAAGAATGGCAGCTAATAAACGTGGGAGCATGACAGAGTTACAGAATCATCGGGTACGTAATCAGTAATGTAATCACAGATTCAGTGAAGGATTGTGTGAGTTTGCTGGGAACGGGACGTTCACATGGCCTCAAAGTAGCATCCCTCAGATTACTTACCAAATACCAAGAGGAAAATGTACAGTTACAATGGAGCCATGCAGTCACTGTCTTTACCGAGTGATCAAATTTAGCATTACTGACAGCAGGAGAATCTAAGATATGTGTCCTCTATGAGGTGTGATAAAGAGGTACACACGTCTTGCAAAAAAAATGCTTACACTGAATCTAGTCGTAAGGGGAAGATCTTACAAGTTCAGAAGGAGGAACATTCTACCAGACAACTGGCGGGGAGTCGGGACAAAATTCAATGACAAGTTACAGAGGAGAGTGGAGGAGACTGTTCTGCATTAAAAGAGCCGATTATAGCTCATGGGTTGAAAAAAATAATAAAACGGCTATCAAAGGAATTTCGGAGGCAGCTCGGGAAATTTGAATACGAATTATGTTAGATGATACTATGAAATCATTAATTTTCTAGGTTTGATCATATATTATGCTTATGTCGGGCTATGTCCTTATTCTTGGGAGATGCATACAGACGTCTGTGGGGGTGAAGTATCCGCAACTTTCAAATAATTCGTCAAAAATCAGTGTGCGGGGCTGCGTGTATGGAGACGGTGGGAGAGAGGCCAAATGTTAAGCAGTTAATGAACTGGAGGACGGCTATGCGAATGCTCATTGTACTACTCTTTAAACTTTTCTGTAGATATAAGCGTTTTTTTTTTTTTTTAAAGATTGGGGCGGCCAAGTGCAAAGGCATCCGCGAGCCTTACGAAGGTAAGCGACGTCGGGAAGGGACGGAAGAGACTTCTCAGAACAGCTTCCGCCCTTCCCGGGGCCCTTCCCTGTTGGCGGATCCAGTCACGTGGCTACGTGGCCCCGCCCACAGCTCCCAGAGGCCCGCGCGCGACGCCGGCAGTTGGGCCGCTCCTTCCGGGCCGGCAGGCGGGTAAGTGGTCGTGCCGCGGCCATGGATGGCGATCCTCCCCCGGTGGAGGAGCGGCGGCGGCTGCGGGAGGAGCTGAGCGAGTTCGTGGAGAGCTGCTGCCGGACGCTGGAGGAGGTGACGGCGTCGCTGGGCTGGAGCCTGGACCGGCTGGACCCCGGGGAGGAGGAGGCGGCCGAGGTGAGGGGCGCGGGGGCCTCCCGGGGGCCCTCAGCCTGCGGAGCCCCTGGCGGCGGGCGCGGCCCCGCGTCTGCAGGGCCGTGGGAGGCGCGGGATCCGGCCTGCAGCGCCCGACGCCCCCGGGTTGCTCGCACCCACCCCCGGGCTGCGCACCCCTGCGGAACCTCGCCCTAAGGAGCCGAGGGATCGCGGCGGGTGCAGAGCGGAGCGGATAGCCGGCCTGGGGTGTGACTGGGAGATAAGCGGGCGGGTCTCGGGGTGCTGCTCGCGGAGGCGGCGGCGGCTTGCCCTGTCATCTGTCGCGTGGATTCCGCACTTGCACCAGACTCGGTGTCGGGAGGGCTTGGGAGTGCAGGTCATCTTTCTCAGCCTCCAGGCTGTGCACCGATTCCACGATTATTAAAGGATGTCAACCTAGAGTCGGTACTAGCAGCTCTCCTGGACGTTAGGAAGAGTATTGGGGTGAACAATCCTGATTTTTTTTTTTTTCTTTTTAATGGGATGGGAGGAAGGGAAGTGCTCCAGTGTGGCATCATTATTCATGCGGTCGACTTATTCTTTCTGGGTTTACCATTTTGAAAAAACACTTTTGGGAATTCCCTGGCGGTCCAGTGGTTAGGATTCCGCGCTTCCGCTGCAGGGGGCCCGGGTTCAATTCAACCCCAGGCCTGGGAACTAAGATCCCGCGTGCTGCCCGGCCAGAGGAGAAGACAGCAGCAACAGTTTTATTATTTGTTTAGAGGTATATTTGAAGCTGTGAATTCCATTGAGTGGGGCCTTCCAAGCCTTTCCACACCACTGTTTACCCAGCGATTTAGTAAATTTAGATTTCTTTTAGTAACAGTTAAATAGAGCTTTGTATATGCCACTTACTATAATTACCTCCTTTAATATTCATAGTTACCCTATGAGGTAGGTACCGTTAGCCACTTTTTACAGATGAGGAAACAAACCAGAAGAGGTGATACTTTGTCCCAGGACACATTGCTGAGAGGTGGCAGTTGGGATTTGAACCCCCAGGCATTCTGCTCTGAGAGTCCCTGTGCCTAATTGGTATGCTGCCGCTCTAAAACTCCTCTCTGAAATTCCCAAATTCGGGCAATCGGCTGTGGGTGTGTATCTGACCTTTGCAAAACCAGTGTCTGATATTCAGGAGAGGAACTGGCTCAAACATCCTGGTAAGTGACATTCATACTTCCTAGACCAGGTGCAGTCCAGATAGGCAGTGAATCTTCACTTTTCTGGTGGAGTGTTTTCATACTGAAGTTGAGTGAACAGCGTCACAGTTCCCATCCTCACAGAGCTCAGCGGCTGGTGGTGGTGATGAGGGGGAATACAGAGAGATCAGCCGCTACATTGTAATGTGATAAAGTCTGTGAAGACTGGGTTGGAATTGCTGTAGTGCCGGTTATTGTAGGCTGTGAGGGGATGGCCAGGACTTCCTGGGTAAAGTGAATTCTAAGCTGATAAATGAAAGTGAGCTGAATTAGCTAGTGAAGCACAGAGAAAGCATCAACAGCATGTGTAGAAATCCAGAGACAAGGGTGTGGTGAGCAGATCAGGAAACCTGCGGTAGTTAAGGATAGCTAAGAGCATAGGCTATGGGGAAGGAGGGGAATGATGGTCAGTAGGGGCCAGACCTTAAAGATCCTTGTGTCAGCCGTGTTAAAGAATCTGGATTTTTTTTTTTTTCTTAATGAGAACAGTGGGGGAGGCATGGAAGTTTTTGTTTTTTTCTTTAATTTATTTATTTCTGATTGCGTCGGGTCTCTGTTGCTCCACATGGGCTTTCTCTAGTTGCGGCGTGCAGGGGCTACTCTTCGTTGCTGTGCGCGGGCTTCTCATTGCGGTGGCTTCTCTTGTTGCGGAACACGGGCTCTAGGCTCATGGGCTTCAGTAGTTGTGGCTCGTGGGCTCAGTAGTTGCTGCACGTGGGCTCTAGAGCGCAGGCTCAGTAGTTGTGGCACACGGGCTTAGTTGCGGCATGTGGGATCTTCCCGGACCAGGGCTCGAACCCGCGTCCCCTGCATTGGCAGGAGGATTCTTAACCACTGCGCCACCAGGGAAGCCCCGCATGGAAGTATTTTAAGCCAAGGCATATCATGATTATACTTGCCTTTTAATAAAATAATAATTGCTTATATTTATTGAATGCTTACTATTTACCAGGTCCAGTCCAAATTGCTTTATGTGTATAAACTCATAGCTCTGTGAGAGAGGTCCTGCTGTTACACCCCTTTTATAGATGAGGAAACTGAGGCTAAGTAAGGTTCAGTACCTTGACTAAGTTCATACAGTCAGTAAGTGGCAGGCCTGGGATTCAAGCTAGCTGCAGTGTGGAGAATGGAGAACAGCCAGACCGGAAGTGGAGGGAGCAGTTAGGCAGTGGCCGTTGTAACCCAGGAGGGAGGTGATGATCTCCTGCATGGGGACATGGCAGTGGGCATGGATTACGTGGAAGGATTTCAGAGTTCGTTAGGAGGAAAAAAGACTAGCTGATTGGTAGGTGAGGTTGTCCAGGCAGTGAGTGTAAACACATCTTTCAAGAGTTGGGCTTTGGTGGGTTGAAGAGGGGCAGAGACTGTAAGGGGGAGAGAGAATGAGGGAGGGTTTTTTTTTTTTTTTTTTTTCTGTTTTTCTGTGTACACTCACACAGGGGCGTTGGGAGAGGCCTACGGAAGAGGATATAAAAACATTTGATGGTATAATTATTTCCTTAAAAATTATGTACCTTTTTTCTTTGCTTCTGTTTGATCTTTACAGGATGAAGTTGCCATATGCCCGTATGATTCCAATCATCGCATGGCTAAGTCGTCTCTAGCAAAGCACGTGGTATCTTGTAGGTTGAGGAAACTGGGCTATACCAAAGGAGAAGAGGTACCATACACCTGTTATGTGTATGTTGTGTAATTCATGCCTTAATAAATTCACAGTATTTGGAAGGTACAGTGTGATGTTTTCTGACAGAATGATAGTCATTTGAGGGGTGCAATGGTACTTGCCTCATTTTTCAAATTATTGCAAGAAATGTTTAAATGATATTAATCTATTGTTGGTTTATCTCAAATCTTAAAATAGTCATATGATACTGAAAAACACTAAGATTTTGTTTTTTTTATTGTTTAGGGTAAAATGTATAATTCTGACTTTTTCTATGAGAATGCGAAGATACCTTCAGTTACCTTGAGTAAGTATTAATATAATTTAAAAATATCTTAGTGTAGCTGTACCTGTATAGGTATTGATATTTCTTTTTTTAAATTAATTTATTTTTATTTATTTTTGGCTGCATTGGGTCTTCGTTGCTGTGCACGGGCCTTCTCTAGTTGTGGCGAGCGGGGGCTGCTCTTCATTGCGGTGCACGGGCTTCTCGTCGCAGTGGCTTATCTAGTTGTGGAGCACGGGCTCTACGCGCGTGGGCTTCAGTAGTTGCGGCTCGTGGGTTCTAGAGCGCTCTGTAGTTGTGGCGCACGGGCTTAGTTGCTCCTTGTCATGTGGGATCTTCCCAGTCTAGGGACCGAACCCGTGTGCCCTGCATTGGCATGCGGATTCTTAAACGCTGTGCCACCAGGGAAGTCCTAATGTTTCATTTTTGAATTATCAAAAGAATGGACTTTATAAGTATACTTATGGTTGATTAAGAAGGGTTTTCTTTTTTTTTTAAGATTTTTTTTTTTTGATGTGGAACGTTTTTTAAAGTCTTTATTGAATTTGTTACAATATTGCTTCTGTTTTATGTTCTCTTGATTTTTTTGGCTGCGAGGCATGTGGGATCTTAGCTCCCCAACCAGGAATCGAACCCGCACCCCCTGTATTGGAAGGCGAAGTCTTAACCACTGGACTGCCAGGAAAGTCCCAAGAAGGATATTTCCTATAGTGACACTAGTTTGCTCAATCTGAAATTTAGAGACCAGGTTTATAATAGGCAATGAAAATCCTCCAAAGCTTTGTACAATAGGACAGATGCCTTCCTTCTTGATTATAACAAAAATCTGGCCACACACGTAATTTGACGGTAGAACTGAGGATGGAAATGTGTTCCAAGTGTTCACAGCATACATAGAGGTTAAAATCTTGGACTTTGGAATCAGAATGCCCTGAGTCAAGTAATTTTGTCACTAATAGTTGTGTGACTTTCAGTAAGGTAACTAACCTGTTAGTTGCCTGAATTTCTTTATAAAATGTGGATGCTGATAATAGCACCCTTGTGAGGATTAAATGATGTAATGATATATGTCATATGGTTAGAATACTGCCTGACACTTAGCTGGGATTCACGACGTGTTAGATATTATGCTGGTTGATAAAATTTGTAGCAGCTACTGCTGCATGCTTGATTATCGTGTTTTCTGAATTGCTTGAAGTCTGGTTACTTACTGGATTCTAGGTAGATCTGAAAGAATTCTGCATTCAGAGTACCTTGGCAGCACTGTGGGTGTTAAGATTCTGGAAGGTTTCTCAATGTGCCCAAGGAGCTTGGATTGGAACCCAGTTAATTTCATTGTGGACACTGACGATTCATATTGTATTTATGGATTTTTTTGACAGATAAGGACTCACAATTCCAGATAATTAAACAAGCTAGAGATGCAGTTGGAAACGATGGTGATTATTATAATCAAAGTAAGTGGCATCAAAGTTTGAACTAATTAATAAAACTGTTTTTCTTCCATAGCACATGTTACTAATTTTCAAGAGAAATCTTACGAGAACAGTTATGAGAAAGGCTAAGTTTTACATTTGACATTAGACTCAGTGCTTGGTGTCAGCTTCATTTGTTAGATATATTCCACTGAGATACACCAATCTCACCAGAACACTGTTTTAGCTAGGGATTCATGCTTTGGAATTACCTAATAGGTGAGATTGCCTCGTAGATAATTTTTTTTAAATTATGATTATTTAGTAAATAAATCCCATTGAGTAGACTGTCTCACCCTGACGTTTCCCCTCTCTCTTGAGAATTAGCCCAGTGTTAAATGTAGGAATGTCGAAATGCAACGTAAGAGGAAAGGCTCGGGCTAATCTGTCCCCACATCTCCTCCTCGGTGAAGCACAAACAACGGTTTTATATAGAATTTCAGAGGGTTTGTGGATCCCTGCATGCCCAGGCTGGCTTAAGAGTTTCTGCCTGGGACTTAACTTCAGCAGAGACTAGGTTAGAATTTTTAAGTTTGAGCTTCTAGGAAATTGAAAGAAACCTTAATCCTTCAAAATCATAGAAGAAAACAAGTAAATGGAGTTAACAGATTTCTGACTCTAGGTAGACCATCCAGCCAAAGCTGACTGGCTCTGATAAGAATTCTCAGTTGACTTCTTTAAGCCTCCTGAAGGTAGCTTTCTCTGGACATCTTACCTTTTTCTCCCTCACTCTTCTTTTCAGCTGAATGATACTCACTAGCCCATAGTTAGGATTTCTTTTCTCCTGTGTTGATGTTCAGGGTCTTAATCCCGTTGTTCTAAGCCAGTATCTGGGCTTCATTTCTCCCTCAGTTGCCCTGTGGCTGCAGAAGGAAGAAGTCTTCTTAGTCTGCATTAGATTGGTTCCTCGGAAGAGCCAGAAGCATATTGCTTGTATTTCCTGTTTTGAAGATCCCATTTAGTACTTTTTGTGCTAAATTGCAGGTTTTATTCTTTGAGGGAGACATTTGACTCTCATCTTATTTGAAGAGATTACTGAGCTATAGTCAGTCAAGCCTTTTTTGACCCCTGTTCAGTTAGTGAACCAATTAAAAAAGTAAAGGATTTTGGTTTTGGTTTTGTTTTTTGGAGGGGTTATTTGTTAAAGGACTTTTTTTGACCTTAGCTAGTTAGATAGATTTACTGAATTTATTTTAGAGTTGAAAGAGAACTTGGAGATAATCTAATCCAGCTTCTGCTTTTTACAGATCAGGAAACAAATCCTGTCTGACAGAGATGATAAAGTTCTGGGGTGCTTGTTCTAAAGGTTCTCAGTGCTTTTATATTTGAGAAGAGAGTTTTTTTATTTTTCAAAGCTCTCTTATTCATTTCATTTCCCTTTGACAACAAACTTGTGATAGGTTGAACAAGTATTTGCTCTTTCATATTAGATGAAGAAATAGAGGCACACAGAAGTGAATTAACACCCCTTTGCTATGATATAGGAAAGCTGGATTGAGAGCCAAGTTCTGAATTTTGCAGATTTGCACATTGAGTTTAATTCTTTACAAAAGCAAATAATTACTTTGAATGAATAGTTCTTTCAATAGATAGTTAAGAGGAACTTCTATTTGATTTTGAATTTTTGTATTATCTTAAATTAAGACTTCATTGTTAAGAATAACATGTTATATGATCTGTAACCCTCTTTTTAAAACTTTTTTTCATCTGTGTAGCGTTCTGCAATTTCTCAATAGAGATTAATTTTTGTGGCGCACTTATGTCTTACACATCTAAAATTTTTTACCCCAGGACAAAAATCTCTTTAATACTTTCTTATTGATGTTTACTTTGAAGGAAGAATAACTAACATTAATAGTTTCACATTTTCCATTTCATTAATGTTTTGTTTGTTATGTACTAAATTGTCAGTTTTTTATGTTTTCATTTCATCAGTCACGTCAGGTCTAGACTCAAGGTATAGAGTTCTCAATTCGTTAATCTTTGTCAAAGCTTGAACAGCCATTAGATCTACTTATTTATTTTCGGATATAGTTACTTTGGTTAATTTTATAACCAAGGTACTAATTTCAGTCATAAACAATCATTTTATATAGTTGGTGGTTTTATCTTTTTCCTTCAATATTAAAAATTCAAGTTGCTCTGCTTCAATTTCATGGCATCTGTTTGGGTGGTGGCCATGATTTGAACATCAGTGTACTATGGTAAAGAACCCCAAAGAGACAGGAGATTATGGTTCTAGACCTGATCTGTTCCTACCACTTGTGAGATGTTGGCAAATCGTTTTACTTCCAAGGACCTCATTTCTTCATCTCCAGCGTTAGGAAATTGACTCTGTATGAATTCTTCGCAAAATTCTGAATTTGTACCTTTAACACGAGTTAATGTTTAATATTGTTAAATATATTATTATTTAATATTAATGTTTATTATTAATATTTAATATTGTATCTCACACGTTTTCTTGAGATGCCCTGTGTTGGCAGAAAGGACCAACACAGAAGAAAGAGAGTTCAAGTTACTGAAAAAGTAGATTAGAGTTTCAGTTTGGGATGATGAGAAAGTTCTGGAGACGGATAGACATGATGGTTGCACGACAGTATGAACGTACTAAGTGCCACTGAACTGTACACCCGAAAATGGTTAAAATGGTAAATTTCATGTGTATATTTTACCACAGTTTTTAAAAACTACTATAAAAAAGGTAGATAGAGGGTCACAGAATTAGTATGATTACAGCTCATTCAGATAAACCTCTAAATTGTATAGAAACTTGCGTTTGAACTTTTACATTTTGTGGAAATGTAAGCTTATTAAAGTGTGTTTATTTTTTTTTTTTTGTCGGAAATATCTATGTTCTGAATGATTTGAATGCAGCTTGTTTAACTTTTCCTGTACTTTTTCTTTTTCAGTAATTGGGGTGAGTATAAAGAGGAATTAGGAACCTGAATGTACTCCTTATTTAAAGATATGCAGTATCCTTTTTGCAAATGATATCCTTTTAAAAGTATCACTCAAATTTCTAAACTTTATCTTAATCACTGTCACAATATTATAGTCTTGATTTGGAATTTTAGTTGAATTTCAAAGAATTTAAATATCAGTCTTGACCATACAGAAATTTAAGATGAATAAAGAAAACTCCAAAATATTTTAAGGAGGAAATTATACTTCTTTGTTTAAAAAGAGCAGAGAGAGGTTTATATGGAGCTTGTTTATAATACATCAGTGTTTTCTAATCTTTTGTATTTTTCTCCTAGAATATATAACCTATATTCAGATAAATTCAGTTTATCAAAGCCATCTCATTTTTATATTATAAAATTAAATGTTTTAACATCTGGCTTTCCCTAGCGTCTACCAGAATTAGAGTAAGATTGATTGAAAAGGAGGGAACCCTCCTTCCGCACTAATTCAGAAGCCTTCTGCTAGTACAGGTGCTTATCTGTAGCTGTTACCCACGGACTCAGATTCAGTGTAGCTCTCCTCTTAATTTGTAGACAAGTGTAAAGTCATCTCTTTTCCTGTGCTGTAATGCTTAGTTCCTAGGGTGCTCTCATTTGAATTTTTGTTTTGCCTCTTTACCTAGGAAGTCAGTGAGATTAAACTTTATCAAATATAAGTATTTGAGAAGAGCTACTGATTTTACATTGTTCTGTGAACCTAAGTTATTACTTTAGGGTACCTAGCAAACATTAAAAGGATTCCTTTCCTTTAGTAGCTCATGTTCTTTGTTTGCATTTGTGAATAATGAAGTCTAGAAAGAATCATTTTAAATTGCTTTATTTACAGTTACAGTAATTTTTTTGTTTCTTTGAGAAAATTTGAATCTCAAAACAAATTTTCTTCAATGTTTAATACATCATATCAAGGTATTGTATTTCCTTTTTTTCATTAATGAGCAGATTTTAGAAAGTTCTATGACCTTGGTGGTGGGGGGGTATTGTTAACGTTTTTCACTTAATTTGGTGAAGTCAATATGCTGCTGCTTCCGCAAATTAAATCAGGGTTAGTCTCAGTCTGTCTTTCTCTGGTCTTTCTTGGGATTTCTGCTACTTAACTGTTTCTTGGTCCCTAGCTCCAAGTCATTGCACAAATGGGATGTATTTTGACTATGGAACATCTAGCTTGATGTCTCTCATAAAAAATGATATTTTTTACACATTTTCCATATTTCTGTAATTTATCTTCAAAGGGACTGTAATGTGTATTACCTATTAAAAACATTTTTTCCCCAGCTTTTATGGGGAAAAGCATACAGACAGAAAGAAAGTTAATATCTACCTTTACAGTATGGGTAGCCTTTTAAAAGTTTTTTTTCTTAGCAAATTGTCTCATGGTTATTACTGCCTGCCTTCATGGGATCTGTCTTAACGTTGTTGGAAAGAATAGCAAACATCCACAACAGCAAACATTCTGTGGATGTAGCATTCGGGATAGAGTCAATGTTGACCGTTATCACACAGATTGATGTTTTGTATGTTTAGGGATTACTATGAAAACAGATTGCTTGTGTTAATTTAATGTTGCATTATTACAGCGCATGTTTAAAGATAAGTATAGTAGATCATAAATCCACAAAGCTTCATGTATTGTTTATCCTTGTGATTTTATTTTTACTCTAGGGATGTATTCTTCATTGCCTGTTGAAGTTCCTCTGAATCACAAACGGTTTGTTTGTGATCTAACCCAAGCCGATCGTCTTGCCCTCTATGATTTTGTAATCGAGGAGACAAAGAAAAAACGGTCAGATTCTCAAATTATTGAAAATGACAGCGATCTCTTTGTAGACTTGGCTGCCAAAGTCAATCAAGGTTTGAGACGAATATCATCGTTTTCTATTTCTTAATTGTCATTCCATCCTTTGAGTGTTATTAAGATGACTTGTCAGGCCACTTTGACTTGGAATAGGATGGTTTTGTGTCATCTGTCATTCACGTATATATTAAGATGTTTACTTAGTACTTGAAATTTTGCTCTCTGATTGTTACATTAAGCATACCTTACTTCTGTAAGAATGTTCCTTGAGCTGGGCTGTTACTTTAATCTCTGTACCTAAGCACTGTTATGTTCCATTAATGGTTAGACAAAAGGAGCGATATAAAACTTAGTCCACTTATATAACAGAATTTTCAGAATATTTTTGAGTGCTGTATTATTACAATACATTAAAGCATGTTGGAATATCGGATGATTATGGTGTTCCTTCCCACTAATTCATAAGAATTTATAGCTTCTGAGGATGTAATAATTTTATTTTGTTCTTTTATTAGATAATAGTCGAAAAAGTCCAAAATCTTACCTTGAAATCCTGGCAGAAGTGAGAGATTATAAAAGAAGACGCCAGTCCTATAGAGCTAAGAATGTTCACATAACCAAGAAATCATATACTGAGGTATGTTTTGCATAATTGTATGGAGCTTTGTTGAACACAGAGATTTCCCTTAGATACTTGTCCTCTGTCCCATGGATTTCCACAGTTCCTTAGAGGTTTTCTGAGCGGAAGTGGCTCCACAGTGGCCACACCTGCTTTGTATTTGCTCCATCACTCTCAGACCCACCCTTTACCAGACAAAGGCTTTTCAGGGTACAAAGCCCTTCTATGAAGAGGCTGTGCAGGGCTTCCCTGGTGGCGCAGTGGTTGAGAGTCCGCCTGCTGATGCAGGGGACAAGGGTTCGTGTCCCAGTCTGGGAGGATCCCACATGCCACAGAGGGGCTGGGCCCGTGAACCATGGCCGCTGAGCCTGCGCGTCCGGAGCCTGTGCTCCGCAACGGGAGAGGCCACAACAGTAGGAGGCCCGCGTACCGCAAAAAAAAAAAAAAAAAAAAGGTTGTGCAGTCTTACAAAAACACTGCTTTTGAGAAAGTGGTATTACATCACGTGGTATTACATCACGATGAGGACATAGATTTTGGCTTTAGACAGACCTGGGCTTGAGTTTTGATTCTGCAGTTTATCATTGGCTCTTTGACTTGGGCAAATTATTTGAGCTTTTCAAGATTCAGATGTTTTCATTTTACAGTAATACAGACTGCAGGGTTATTGTGAGAAATAATTGAAATAATGCTTATGGACAAAGAAATTGTTCAGTGAATATCTTTTTTGGCAGAAATTTTAGTGTGCGTTTATGTACTTTACTAAACATTTGGGCTTAAGAAATGTCTTGGTATAAATTATTTGTAATTTATATTATAAAATAATTTTATGTATATTATAAAATTTAAGTACATTAACCTCTTGATGTATATCTAGACTTATTTTCAGATGTCATTTAGTGGGTAGAGTCGATGAATTTTTGGTACATGAATCACCTTGCCTAAACACTGTAAATAATTTCCTCATTGAATCTCTAATTGTTCCCATGTTATTTCTTCCTTCCTTTTATGATTTTAGAGACCTTCCATAATCTGGCCTCATTTTACCAAGCGTTTTCTTTTGCTTTAGTCAAGCATGTCTGTTAAAGTGTATCTGATCACACGTATTTATTCTTACCTCAGTATCCTAATACATGCTGTCTCATCTGCGGTGCCTTTTGTTTTGCCGTTTGGAAACTTGATGCCCACTCACTGTTTCCATGAGGTGTTGATGGCTCTGAGCCATCTGCTGGCTTACCGCACTCATGCTCTGTACCGACAGCTTAGCACTTGGTTTTATGCTGTGCTTTTTACAATTAAAGTACATGTTTTAGACTTACCTTACTCGGGCATTGCCCTAGTGAGTCTTACAGCCCCTCAAATCCTTGGTGGTTCAACACTTGTTTCTTCTCTGGTCTCATGACCTTGAACTCAAGTATAAGTGTCGTTACTAAGTGCTCTTTACAATTTTATGGTTAACTTTTTTTTTTTTTTAATAAATTTATTTATTTATTTAATTTTTGGCTGCATTGGGTCTTCGTAGCTGCGCACGGGCTTTCTCTGGTTGCGGCGAGCGGGGGCTACTCTTCGTTGCGGTGCACAGGGCTTCTCACTGCGGTGGCTTCTCTTGTTGCGGAGCATGGGCTCTAGGTGCATGGGCTTCAGTAATTGTGGCATATGGGCTCAATAGTTGTGGCTCGCGAGCTCTAGAGCACAGGCTCAGTAGTTGTGGTGCACGGGCTTAGTTGCTCCGCGGCATGTGGGACTTTCCTGGACCAGGGCTCGAACCCGTTTCCCCTGCATTGGCAGGCGGATTCTTAACCACGGCGCCACCAGCGAAGTCCCTGAGCAGCTCTCTTATCTGAAATTCGGTACTTAACTCTCTGTAGGTGATTCGGGATGTGATCAACGTGCACATGGAGGAACTCGGCAGCCAGTGGCGGGAGGAGCAGGAGAATGCAGACGATGATGCGGAGAAGTATGTCAGTGCGTCAGTTGGTGAAAATAGTTCTGTTTTTATTCTGTCACCTGTAATTGTTCAACTGAACTTTAGCACCTCCAAGACCATTAGTAGCACGCCGTAATTCATCAGAACGCTTACTGTTCTTGATTTTACCACAGTTGTGAAACATGCCATTAAGAGCTAAGTTTCTTTGCCTGCCCTCTTATCTGGAGTGCAGGGTTATACGTATTTAGTCTCTGTCTGTCACTGGTCTGATACAGAATATTGAGCTTTAGGCTGGTCTGTACTGGAGACCATAGTTAAAACTGTTTACTGTTCTTTCTGTTTCAGGAATGAAGAAGGGCGGTCGGCTTCAGTAGACTCACGGCAGTCTGGGGGAAGCTACCTGGAGGCGGAGTGTTCACGACATAGAAGGGATCGGAGTAGGAGCCCGCATAAACGCAAAAGAAACAAAGAGAAGGACAAACACTGGGACTCAAGAAGAAGGAAAGAGAGGTAAGCCCGGCACTGCGTCATTCGCTGTCGAATTGTTGATGCTTGAGAAGCAAAAGGCCCTTCTGTCATAGGCCATGCTGAGGACATGGCTTGTAAGTAAATTAAGGTGAGGAGAGTAAACAATTGATGACGATTCTTAACATTCATCCTGTCTCAGTTCAGATATCCACAGCTCTACCTGCCTGATCGGTACGGTTTCCCTTTTTTATTACTTGTTTCCTCACCAGGAGATGGGAAAGTAATGTCTAGGTAGAAAGTTAACCATGTTAAAAAGGTGTTTGCCTAGATCTTTCTTCAGTCCTTTCTGTGTCCCTCCCTCCCTTTCTTGTTTCTCTTTCTCATCCTTTCTTTCTCTTGCTAATTCATCAGATAAAGGATGTTATAAAGTCAGAGAGAAGGTCTAAGCTTTAATGGCAGTCAGTTTTGCCCTTGTTGGTATTCCTGATAAGATTCTGAAAGCTGCGGAGATATAAAGTAATACTGAAATAGTGAATTCAGATCGACCGAGGTCTGTTCCTGTATCCAGCTGCTTACTGGGCATCTACGTGGATCTCAAATTTGTCAGGTCTACGCCTGAACTTGACTTTTTCTTGGTCTGCTCCTCTTCCGCCAGTACTCCTGTCCTGGTTCATGGACGGCCATCATCTGTTCACCTAAGCCAGCAGTCGAGGACTCATGCTCCCTTTTACTCCTTACCGTCTGGTCCTAGTCGTCAGTTTTGTGTGAAGATGCCTCACATGCGCCTCCTCTCTCTGTCCTTAAGGCTGTCATCTGGAAAACGATGGCTGTGTTCCTCATTGTTCTCTCTGTAGGCTTGTCCCACGTGGACCCATCCCCGCCCCGCTGCCAGAGTGGACTTGCACCTCTTAAAACTCCTCAGTGGTAGAGTTCACGTTCTTCGGAACAGCTCTCGACACCTCCAGGAGCAGGGCGCCTGCCTACCTACCTTGTATTTGCCCCTGCCCCGTGAACCACACAACTTCTGCTCTGGCCAGCCCGGACTCCTCACAACTTCCCATCCGCACTGGGCCTCGTCCGTGCCTTTCCACCTGGTGTCCTGCTGCCTGGTTGTTGTTGTTGTTGAATATTTATTTATTTATTTGTTTGGTAGCACTGAGTCTTAGTTTCGGCATGTGGGCTCGTTAGTTGCAGCTCGCTGCCATTCGAACTCTTAGTGGCGGCATGCACATGGGATCTAGTTCCCTGACCCAGGGACCGAACCGGGGCCCCCCTGCATTGGGAGCGCGGAGTCTTACCCACTGTGCCACTGGGGAGTCCTTTAAGCCTTCGGTAAACTCATCCTTTAAGACCCAGCTTAGTCATGTCCATGAAGCCTTTTTCACTCATTCAGACAGAGCTGATCTTTCCCATTTTGTTACCACTCTACCCAGCACCCATTTTTTATTGAACGTAAGTTATTTCTCTCTCTACTAGACTCAGCTCGTTGAAAGCAGGTCCATGTCTTATTTAGTATTATTTGCACAGTGCTTGTCTAGCAATAGGCTTTTTTTTTTTTTTTTTTTTTTTTTTTTTTTTTTTTTTCCTGCTTTTTTTCTTTTTTTTCTTTTGGCTCCCGGTCCCCCCCGCCGCCGCCGCCCCCCCCCTCTGCCGCCCGGCCCCCCCCCCCCC